GGGGTGTGTGTGGGGGGGGGTCAGGGACGAGGGAAGATGGAGACGGGGCGGGCTCCAGGTAGTGGCGTTTGGTGTGTTTACAGCTGCTCTGTGTTTGGGAGGGGTGAAGGGAAACCAGTCAAGATGGTGGAGGTGTTTGCTGGCCGTTGCGCTGACTCCACGGCTTTGTGTTTTCTCTTCCTTAGGCTGCAGAGTCCGTGCTCCGTCGTGCTGGAGCGGGTCCGGCCTGTCTCGTCCCAGTGAGAACGAAGAGGAGGCTTTCTGTCCCCCACTGGGTCAAAGAGCTGTCTCCTGAAGCGAAGGAGAGGAGGATCCGATCTTTGATGGCCTCGCTTCCTGAGGATCGTATAGAACGGCCTTTCTACTTGGCCTGCACAGGTGGTAGAAAGGCTGCTGTGGGCTCTTCTCGAGGGCAAAACTCGCGCCAAGCAGCAGCACGGAGCAGTTAGCCTGAGCGCTGTGACCCTGCTGAGAGTGTCTGTCTGCAGGAGACTGAATTACACACTCTGCTTCCCGGTGAGGGAGAGCAGCTCTCCTGCCTTCCCTCAGAAGCGTGTCAAGCTCCTGGCCCCTTCATACCTTGGAATAGCAAGGGAGGTCGTGTTTCCTGCTGCTGAATGTGCCTTCTCCTCCTCTCTGTGTGGAGGAGGAGAGCGGAGAGCAGGCGCCTGTCGCTGCTGACGAGCTGCGTTAGACCAGCAGTTCTTTGCCCGCTCGTATTTCATCCTACAAACATCTTCAGGGAGGAATCCTGCCACGCCAGGCTGCTGCCTCTTTGATTCTTTCACGTTGGTGGTTTTGAGCCTCCCCCTGACCTTTCTTCTCTCTCCTGCAGCCGATATTATAGACCCCTACGTCCCTCCTGAGGGCGACGCCCGCTTGACTTCCCTGTCCAAAGATGGGCTGAAGCAAAAGGTGGAGAAGCTGAAGCAGACCGCTGCCTCCCAGCTGGCGTACGTACCTCCCTTGTCGTTCGTCCGTGGTGCAGAAGTTTTGCTCGGTTCTGTCTTGTCAGCGGTGAGGCGGGGCCTTTTGCTTTCTGCCCGCTTCTTCCTGTTGTGCCGCTTCACCAGCAGGCCCTGGTGTGAGAGCGAGCACAAGGCACGTGCTCTGGCGCGCAGCGTGCGCTCGTTTTCTTGAGGATTCTGTGGGTTTCCAGCGCTGTGTCCGTTTTGCGAGCACCTGGAGGGGTTATGTCTCAGTGGGGAGTCTCCAGTTTGCAGTTGCTCCCTGTTAAAAGCTGGGCTTGAACCGGATAAGATCCCTGTCATCTCAAACGTGGAAGACTGTTCCAAGTTGTTCTCCGCTTACTGTGGAAACTCTTCTTGTCTTTTCAGTCTGCGGAAGGTAAAAGATCACGATCCAGATTTCAGCACTAAAACCTTCCCAGAGAAGGCGCAGGAGATATTTATTGAAGCTCACAACTGCCTGGCAAAGTAAGACCCTTTCTCTGACTGAGGTGGTTGTGTAGGTCCCGCTTCTCTTGCCTTGGGTGCTCTGGTTTTTCTTCCTCGTTTCTCTAATCCTCGTACCTCCTCTGCAACAAGTACGTTATCTTTTTCCGCCCCCATCTCTGTGAAGAGCAGAGAGTTGGAGATTTGATCAGTTCCTTCTTGCGTTTGAGAATGAAAAGCAGGTCGCAGAAAATTCATCTTGACCTGCCCTGCAGAGGAGGTGAGCTGTTGCACCACCGGTGTTATCAGCAGATGAGTGGGTGGTTGGTGCTGTTCAGAATCACGCTGCAGGGAAGGGGTTGGATGTGAAACGATGCTCCCCTGGCTTGTTCCGCTTTCCAGTAATGGAACCGACTTCCAGACTGCCTCATTCTTGGTTACAATTCCAGACATCAATAAAACATTTAGGTCGTCGCTGGCTTCCAAAGGACGTTGTTGTGTCTGTCCCCGAAATCTGGTCAACCAGCTCGCGTTCGTGTTCCGGTTTTGTGCCGAGATCACAGCGGAGAGATTTGCTTTTAATTGTTTTTTGCCAGTAGATTGGGTGTCTTCTGGGGAAGCAGGAATTTGTGGGTAAGCCTTCTTAATGACATCTGCGTTCAGGTGACGGCGTGTGTTTCACTTGCAGTTTTAACAAGCAGAAACTCCACTCCCTGGTGACGGAGCGCTGCTACCCGGTGAGTGTTTATCTGGATGTAGCGTGTCCTTGATCCCTTCTGTGGTCTTTGAGGCTCTCTAAACCCGAGCATCTGTCTCATTTTTTTCTGGGTACAGTAACGACAGAGCTGGGGGGGAAGCACAACTCTAGTGAACGAAGGAACGCTTCGTTGCGTGTAGTAGTTTGCTCGTCGTTCAATTTGCATCCTAATTAAGTTGGTGCTTATTTTTTTTCCTCTATAGGAGATGGTCCGTGGGAACAGGTACAAGACCATCCGTTGGAGTTTTGTGGAGTCGCTGGAGCCTCCAAGAGTGGTCCATGTTCGATGCAGCAGCATCGTCAACCGCGGCAACCTGTACGGCCAGGTGACGGTGCGGATGCACACGCGGCAGGTACATCCCCCGCTGCCCCCTGCCTTTCCCGACGGACTCCGACCTGTTCCCGGCCCGACATCTCTTTCTTGGCTCTTTTCCCGTAGATTCTGGCAATCTATGACCGCTTCGGGCGGCTGATGTACGGTGGGGAGCAGGCGCCCAAGGACGTTTTGGAGTATGTGGTGTTTGAGAGGTACTTGGTCAACCCGTACGGCACGTGGAGGATGCACGGCAAGATCGTTCCGGAGTGGGCTCCACCGAAGGACCCCATTGTTAAGGTAAAAACCACCAGGACAAGGCACCAGCGTGGCCTGTGCCTGGGAAACACACAACCTAGAGTCTACCAAAGCAGC